ATGCATTTTTTTCCCTGCTGTCAGTTTCTGTGATGTAAGATGGGGCTGACTGTTTGTACTGATCAAATATCAGACATCTGTAGCACGAATAAAAGCTCTGGTAAGAATTTTATAACATCATCAGCGTTTCACTGTGTATTGCCTGAGTGTAGTGACCTTTAATCAAACCTACTTCAATCACTTCTGTGATTGCATCAATTCTTACCGGCCTGTCGCACTGACTCCTATTATAATGAAGTGCTTTGAAAAGCTGGTTAAAGAACACATCGTCTCCAGTCTCCCCCCAACATTTGACCCATTCCAGTTCTCCTACCGATGAAACCGCCATCTCCTCCGCTCTTCACCTGAGCCTGGCACACCTGGAGGAGAAGTACACCCACATGCAGATGGTGTTCCTGGACTTCAGTTCAGCTTTCTACACCATCATCCCACAGCATTTGATAGGCAAACTGGAACTGCTGGACTCAATACAGCCTTCTGCAAATGGCTGCTAGACTTCCTCACAAACAACCTCTGTTAGTCCGGGTCGGACAGAACACCTCTGATGTCATCACCATAAGCACAGGGTTTTATCTGGGGTGCATCCTGAGCCCCCTGCTGTTCACCCTGATGACACATGACTGTGTCCCCAGGTTACGGTGGTGGGCCTCATCAGAGACGACAATGACCAGGACTACAGAGAGGAGGTGGAGCACCTGGTGGGCTGGTGCAGAGATGATAACCTGATCCTGATTGTGGAGAAAATGAAGGAGATCATTGTCGACTTCAGGAAGAACTTAACCTAACCATGCTCCACGGCTCATCAACAGCTCGGCTGTAGAGGTGGTCAGCAGCAACAAATTCCTGGGGGTGCACATCACAGACAACCTCATCTGGACTGTAAACACCACCTCACTGCTCAAAAGGGCACAAAAGAGCATGTTCTTCTTGTGGAGGATGAGGAGAACCCATCTGCCCCCACCCATCCTCACCACCTTCTACAGAAGCACAATAGAGAGCGTTCTGGCCAGCTGTCTCATGGTGTGGTGTGGAGGCTGCAGCGCCTCAGACTGGAGGAAGGTGAGAAGGGTGGTGAGATCAGCAGAGACGATCATCAAGCTTCTCTTCCATCCATGAAAGACAATTCATCCCATGCTGCATGTCGTAAGCCAGTAACATTATCAAACCCCCACCACGGACTGTTCTCCCTGCTGCCCTCTGATTCTGAAACAGCTTCTTCCCCACCACTATCAGAAGGCTGAACTATTGAGACAACTCTAAATCATGTCACTCTGCATCATACTAAAAACACCAAACCAAAATGCATAATTGCACCATATATATTTAATTCTATCAATTTATATCAATTTGTTTTTTGGCACCATGTTTTTTCTCCCACACTGTTTACATTTGATCAGTGCTATACTTTAAGAAATGGAAATGTCATGAAAGCTGTACAAAAAGAAATTTCAATAAAAGTTGTTTAAGTTTAAGTCTAAGTCTAATTACTATTGCATCAATACATAACGTATTTAGCAGAGGACCAACATTTTTCTTTTCTTCCAAGTGTGCTGAGGCTTGTGTCGATTGAGAATATATATATATATATATACTTTTTTAGAATCCCCTAAAGCAAAATGCAAGCACTTTGGAAAACTACATCTTTTAAAGTCTAAACTGACCAGTACGTGAACCGAATAAGGCTAAAGAATAAATAGCAACAAGGCATACAATCATACAAGCTTTCAGAGTTTTAACATTTGCTGCACACGTAAGTTAAGAAATTTGTGTTACTGTAATTGCCTTTTTTTTATGTATTGAAATATACATAAGTAATTAATCAAAATTAACATGTTATGTCCTCAGCCCTAATATATACATATAATATGTATATATGTTGCATTCTATTAGTAATGAGAAATTTGCCTAAACCCTTTTTTTGATTATTTTTTTATGTTTAATTATAAAAAAAATTAAGTGTTGCTCTGATTTACAGCAAAGCTGGGAAAAAAAAGTTATAATAGTCCCATGAAACCACCAGGATTTAATAATGCAAACCTTTATTATAATGCAGTTGTCAAACTTTTGTCTGAATGTAAACAGGCAAGGAATTTGCATTCTAATAATGCATCCTTGTGGGCACCTTTAAACACAGGTTCAGCCATTTCTTTTAACGCGTTTCCGTGCATAAATATAATTACGTCCTCCAACACGCCCTCTGTTTTCTTGTTTTTCTATTTTCCCTTTTTTTTTTTCAAAAATTTAATAAAATTTAAACAAATTTACTCCTAAGTGCTTCACAATCTTCCACTAACTTACCATTCGGGTTTGTAGATTGTACAAGGAGACTATAGTAGCTGCTGCAAATCTATGCACTATAACTAAATTTGGCAGCTTTTTTGAAATTTCATGTTTAATAGAAATGGTTAATATTAGTGTAAGACTTTGTTTAGACAGCAGTTAGGATTAAGGAAACCTGTTGCTTTAAAAAAAAAAAATACCAGTCAATCCTCTTAAGACTTGCAGATATTAAGCCCCATTGTTTCTCGCAGATCCCTTTTAATCTGGACACATAGGGGCTTTTTTAAGCATCAGCAGCTTATATTAGATCATTCCCTTGCATCTGAATTAGACTGAATTCCAGGCTTGTTCTTGGTCCTTTTTTTTCTTTTTTTGCTTTAATCGTTAAATTTCAAATTTAACTACACCTACTGGGGCTTTGCAGAGGCTTTAATGGTTGTCCTTGGTTCTTTTTTTCTTACATCGTAACTGGATCCTCCATGTGGAGAAGGCCCAGCCACCTCTGGGATGGTTCACTACTGTTCTGTGTTTCTGTTCTCTGTTTGGGGTTAATGACTTTGGATTTGGTTCGCTGGAGTCCCAAAGCCTCAGAAATCATCTTGTAAACCTTTTTAAAGTTATAGATCTCAGTGGCTTTGTCTCTTGAATTTTATGAGAGCACAATGTGTGCAGTAGCTTGAAAGAAAAAGCTTTTTGCTTTCACTTTTTGACAGTCTTCTTTGGTTAAGTGTTTTTTACAGGAAAAAAATAGCATAACGCCACGGTAAACCAGTAATATTAACTGGGCAAATTCTCAGTCAACCATAAAACAGGATTAAATCAGAGGCAGTCGGAAATAAATTAAGATAGCTGCTAAGTTTACGTGCAGATAAAAGATATTAAAGCACACAATAAAGAAAAAAGGCACCAAAAATGTAGTTTAAACAAGAAAGCAGTGTGAGCAGAACCAAAAGCTGAAATCTCAGCATTCTCAGTAAATTGTTCTAATGTATTTTACCATGGAATTAGGTTATATTTTTTTCTAAATTAAGATTTTCATTTAGGAAAAGTTTTCTGTAAATACTCACATGCTATCCTTTTTATATTGAATATCAGGTGAAGATCTGACAAAATATGTTTTGGGCAAAACTGGTTAAACAGCACTATACATTATATAGATACCTACCTGAACAGCTGAATGAATAATATGTTCCAACCCCGAGGGTCTCAAAAAGTGACTTTCCTTTTGTTTTTTGTAGTAAATTCAGGAACTGAAAGGTTTTTTTTTTTTTTTTTTTTTTTTATATCTACGTTGCATGTCAGGATTGGGAAATGTCTTATGGACACCTATGAACTCATCCTTAAACCAAATAAAGTCAGCAAGGGGAAATCTAATATATTTTACCATAGGATAAGGTTACATTTTTTTCCTAAATTAAAATTTTCATTTGAAAAAGGCTTTCTGTAAATACTCGCATGCAAATCTGTTTAAACAGCACTAAACAATATATAGTTACCAATGTTTACCCATGTTTATTTAGCAAGGTCATTGCCAGGGTATTACAGTGTAAAAGGATGTTATGATTGAAAAATCAGTATTACTGAAAATCAGGCTGATACACTCATGACTGTTATCTGGTATTCCATCCCAGCACATTTCAGCACAGATGCTGGTTATGCCGAAACTTTTAGAATTACAATGCAATCAAAGCAATAACCTAACTTTAACGAGCGATGGTGTTTTGAAAACACAGTTACCTCAATCTTTACACACATGTGAGAAAAGTGCAGTTAAAATATTAATCCCGCACCATTAAGACTGTCATCAGCACACTGAGGCAGCGGAACATGCTACTGCCCTGACAGCAAAGAACAAGTTTAAAAAGTAATTCCTAGTCAGAACCCTGTTTAGAAACCACTTTAAAATGTAATCTGAAATAAGAAAAAACAAATGACATTAGATTGTAAATTTATGGTTTAAAGATTATCTTAAATGTTTTCCCTCTACTGTGAGTTGAAGCATCTATGGAAAGTCCTTATCCACGTCTCCCTGGTTACCCCTTAATACCATAATAAAATGATGAGTGACCAGAACTTTTAACAGGAGGTTGACCCTCCCCATTATATTCTCAATTTGAATCAAGCTGCTAGCTGCTAACAACAAATCCTAGTCTTGGTGCTGCAGCATGTGTTCTCCGTTCTCCTAATTACTTTCAGAGCTTTGTTTATGAGCAAAACTGCTCGCCATGCAGTGTCAGCCCTCAGCTTAAAGGCCATGTTTCACATTCCAGTCTATTATGTTGCAGCTTCACTGCATCAACTAGATAGAGCCAAACCTAGTTTAGCCCAAAATCTCTGTATGGAAGTGTCTGTTTCTGATCTTAGTATGTATGGGAATCAGAGCATCTAGGTTGGATGTGTAAAATGGGTGCTCTGTGTTTACTGGCGTTTAGGTTCTTATCTTTTCTATTCAGATACTGCCTCGCTTTGAATGAGTGGTTTTGCCAACAGAGCTGTTAGTGCTAAAATATCATCTCATTTTAAGTATTCATGTGATTTTCTTTATTTTCTTCTTCTGCATTTTGTAGAAAAGCTTCCCTTTTAATGTGTTTATGCCTTAAAGGAAGTAAGAGGATAATGGTTATGTGCCTCGACTTTGCTGCCGATGCTTTGGTAATTGATTTCGTTATGGAGGGAGGATATTGTATAACATTCTTGTTTTTTTTCTTTTTTGAAATCAGACAGCCAGCTGCTTCCTGGGAATAACTTTACCACAGAGTGTAACATTCCTGGAAACTTCATGTGTGAAGATGGAACGTGTGTCCCGGGTGGCTGGGAGTGTGACGGAGTGCCCCACTGCTTTGATGGGAGCGACGAGAGAGGCTGTGGTAAGTTCAAGCTTAAACTCCATTATCTAAAGCTGTCTTAGAGCCAGCTAGCTGTGGCCTACAGCACTGAAGCCAGATTGCTTACTTAGAGCCATGTCGTGTTCTTTCAACTCTTGAACCTTTTTTCGCCAAAACGCATCACAGTTTTCGCTCCTCTTACTTCCCTGTCCACAGGCCCATAAAGGCCAGTAAAACCTAATTCTCTGCCAACATAAATTAACTTCCCTCTTCAGTGCTCACAGTGCCCTCCCCCACATCAGGAGCCCTGCTCACCTCTCCTCCATCCCTTTAGCCTCAGTTTAGCACCATGGCAAAACCTAATACCATCAAAGAAAAGGCCAATTACCCCTGCGTGCAGGAAAAGGAACACATACATATTTTACTGTAACGCTAGTGTAGAAGCTCATTTTTGATCTTTACATTTAGCTGGCTTTGATCCCTATGGTCTGCTGCTCCTCCCATTGCAGTTAGAGCTACACACAGAGTGGGTCACTGATGAAGATAGACTTTGAGTTTCTACGCTGAAATGAAAGCTGCATCATCCTGTTCATCCATTTCTCTGAGTCTCTGCACCCTCCTGCTCAATTTTCTTCGATGATCTTCCTGTGTAATTTGCTTTGTAGAAGAATTAAATTAATAGAAACATTTAAACCAATTTTTGCTGAATTTTTTTTTTACCCAGATCATTTCTTGAAGAAAAAAATAAATCACATGTGGCTTATAGTAACATCTGTCAGTCCTCTTTATTTTATTTTCCCCTCCCCCTCTAGCCTTCCTTTCTTTCGCTGTGGTTTCTTGTCTGCAGCCAGAAGAGGAAAATGACTCTTCTCATTCTGCCATTGGATTCTGGCACAAAGAGACAGGCACAGAGACAATTTTATCATTTATATACGTATGTAGTCACATATTTTTGGGTTTGCACATTTTAATTTTTTCTTGTAGACTTATTATATTGATGAGTATTCCACAATTTTATTAAATGTTTTTCACCTTTCAGTCATTCAGTTTACATTGAGTATTGGTACTAAAACCAGAAGCAAAATGTCACTGTGAAAGTGTTAGAGGACAGCTGTTTTAACTACATTTGTAAAAATGAATAAGAAAAAATTTAATTTATTATTACTTAATGTTCTAAAGAGGCAAGATTCACCTCGGATTGGACACGGGGAGCTACACTTTCATGAAGCAACTTTATCTCATGTAAGCTGAGTTTAAACTGAGCCAATAAGTGGGGATCATTTTAATAGATAATTGAGTTTTTCCCTCTCAGTTTCTGCAGTATTTGATATTGACTGTAACAAATGAAAGATGAATTAACGTAACACTATGCACTGAATGCATGGGTTGCACTCTGAAATCCGTTAAAAGCCACCTATGGGAATGCTTAAACTACCAAAAGAGACAAAGGGTGACAACTGGGAGGAAGTAGAATGCCCTTCTTCATTAAGACGATGGCAGCCAGGGGCATCTAAAAGGATAACACACCTATTTGCTAATTTCAAGGTAAAGTTTATTTGTCCTTGAAATGAACAAGCTACTGTACCTTTAGTGTCATGTAGGGATGCAAGTTCTTGATTAATTAATTGATCTAAAGTTGATGGATCTTATCCATCAACTTAAAAATTTGAGTTCTTTTGTATCAATAAAATCTTTACACAAACTGAAGGGCTAAATAATTTTTCTACAATAGGCTGAGTTAAGAAAGAAATTGTACATCGTAATATTTTGAAATAGTTATCGTGCCAGCTGACTTATATATTGACTGAATAAACCATACATATGTTCTAACACATTAGTAAGATAAATACCAAAACAGGAACCTAATAAGTTAATGAAGTAAATACTGAATAAAATATGTGAAACACCTGTTTCCAATGTATAAAATTGTAAAACTATCATTAAAAGACAGGATATGTTACTTTGACATGCTATCAGACTATTTAGTTAGTCTAAATGAAGTGGATGCTGTGATTTAGCTCCCTGTTTTTAGTTTAATCCAACAATTAGGAAGTAGAAACTGTGCTCTCAAAAGTACTTTATAACAGGTCGCTCTGGTTGCTCTTAAAGGAAGATTGAAACTTGAATACATGAATTGTGTCGACTTAATAATACTTTCCCAATCTACAGTGCTTCTTGTTTGCATGTCTTCTCTCATGTTAAAATTTTCTTGTGTAGCATCCCACACTTTTTATCATCACATACTTGCGATTTGAGCGCAGCTGAGAAAGCGATAGGTGCCTCGTGCTGGGTGATGAAGCAGTATATTGGGTACTCTTTAAAACATAAATTTGAGAGTTTATCGAGTGTTTATATTTACAGACAGAACAGCATAAATTAAATTCTGCATCCTTGTCACTATTAAATAGTATAGATTAGAAAAGCAGCACTCAGAGAGCACAGACTTCTGCCAAGCGGTAACTTTGCTCCATAGTGAGACTTATACCTAAAGCTAAAACCCACTCATAATCTGGATCATTACCAAACCTCAATGGATTGCTCCTTGGCTTGAGGCCCACATCTAGTAAAAAATTGCATTAATATCCATTCATAAATTTTCAAGCAATCCTGCTTAAACAAACAAACCGACCCATAATTCTGCATGGCTGCCCTGGCTGAGGCACGGCATGTGACTGCAGCCTCTGGTGTTTGTTCTGCTCTCACCTTTTTCATTCGTACTCTGCTTTCTTTTTTGATCTGCAGATCGAGACTTCATTTGTCTTTTTTTGTTTTTTTTGTCTTCAGTAAAATACTTATTGATATTTTGTATTTTGATTCCAATGCTGAAACTGTTAATGCTACGTTTCAGACTACATGCAGCAGAAGCAGTAGAAATGCGTGTACTGCTTCATTTTTTATGCTTGTACAAGTTTAGTTCTGACGCGCGGCTGAAGCATCTTTGCTGTTCTAGCTGCATGGTCGAAATCGAAAAGGGGGTCTAAAGTACGCTGGGCGAAGCTACCCTATCCTTGTAACAATGGCCGCCTTATTTTCTGTAAAAAGTAGTTTAAATATTTTTTTTAGTTTGAAAGTCCAATTGAAAACTTCATCTGTGCAGTGAGTTCATCAAGATTACGATCCTGCCTTCAAATATTATTTAGCTGTCGGTGCCGTACACTAGCTCTCACTAGGAATCCCGTCCAACAGCAGCCTCTGGCCTGGTTGCCTCATTGCGGTTTTCTGTTCTAGAAGGCGTTCTAATATTTTAAGTTAATTGAGGCATTAATAAACTGTTTCAGAGGAGTGATCATAGCGATCTGCATCAGCAGCACTGTGTCAGTCTCCCTGCCACCTCCCAGCTTCTCTGGTTGGTTGATGTGGCACACCGAGCAGCAAAAGTTCAATTTTTCCTACACTAGCAGCTGCTGCTTCTGAAGCTTGTCACACGCATCAAATACTCAGAATCTCGTGAGGTGCTGCTTCAGCTGCTCAGACGCGCTGCTCCTGCTACTCAAAACGTGCGCTTTGGTGCACATCAACCATTGACTTTGCATGTAAACTAGCTGCTTCTGCTACTTGTGGTCTGAACGTAACATAATAGTTACTGCTGCCACCCTCTGGTTTTGGTGGATACTGCTTGTTCCTCCATATATCCCCATCAGACCATGTTAAAGAATCCTTTAAAATTTCTGTATGTGGAATAACATCTGGATCATTGCCAATATTTAATGGATTGGTCCTTGGCATGGGGTGAAACTCTGGTTAAAATATAATGAAATTCTATTCAACAATTTTCAAGCAAACCTGCTAACAAACCAACAAACACAACCAAAAAAATAACCTCCATAGCAGAGGTAATAATAATAATCCCAGACCGGACTCATGATTGATTCATGTTTCTGCTTTAGTGTGCCTCCCTCTGCTCTGGCATTACTTCTCCTGTGGTTAAAGGCTGATTTATACTTCGAAACTAGGTTGTCTGCATAGGTGTCGCAGTGAACAAAAATACGTCGCCGCCCCCCCCTCTGCAGACACTCTGCTGCACCTTTCCCAAATTGTAGGTGACCGCAATAAAAAATGTCTGCGTAAAGCTCACTGCGACACACTGCTTCGGGGAGTATAACCAGCCCTTAAGCAGAGGGTTTGCTTAAGAATGAACAGTGGTGCCGTCTGGTGGACGGCAGTAATATGTCAACAAGAAAGGGATATCTTTTAAGAGAATGGAACAAATTTGAATATAATAAGCCATTAATGGACAATTAATAATAAGTCAAGTATTCGTTTACATCCCTAGTGTCAGGCAATCGTGAAACAAATACTCCCACTGTGTTACTAAGGCGGGTGCAGGTAACATGTTTTCAACAAGAGCGCTTCGATTTAATGGAATTTATTTTTGTTTAAGGTGATGGATGAAAGTACCAAATTCCTCAGATGATGTGTTGAACACTGTATTTTTTCATACTGTTCTTTTGCTTCTAAATCATCATCTAAAAACACCTTCCAGTCAGAATTAAACCATTGTGACCATTGTGACCATGCTGAAGATGAGCCAACAATTCATCAAGCATTTCATTATGTTTCCTTTCAAATTTTTTACTGTGTTTCATTCCCGGATTAGATTTTTATAGGTTTTCTAATCAACCTGTCCGTAGCCAGAGTCAGTTAAACTTAATATTTGTTGATTTTGGTCAATAGCCAATATTTTCTTTTCATTAAATAATCCCTTGCTTACAAAAATTTTTGAAAAAAAAGAAACCCTCGCACCAGTGGATTCTGCGCCCCAGATTCTTTTCCTCTTGTGCACTTAATTTTCCCAGCAGTTTCCAGATCTGCACAGAAACATACTCAAATCACACTTTTTTAATGTTCAGAAATCAGTTCACTTGGTGATATTTATATTATGCCTTTAAGCAGGGCAGCGTTTTGCTGATATTTTGCCAACCATCTATGCCAAAAGATCTCAAGGCATCACACTCGGCCCGCCTCTTCTGTCAGGGGACTATTTGCACTTCTTGTAGACAACAGCATTATCTGTTCTGGCGTAAGTAGGCCCCATTATCCCT